TGACGTGAGTAATGAATTTCAACACAGTGACCACAACCGATTGGAAGGGCCCTGCCTCCAGCCAGGCAGAGGAAAGGAGCAATCAGGTTTATTGGACTGTGTGGATACAAAGGCTTGGCACATCAGACCCACAGAAGTATTAGGCTCTAGTGGACACTAATACACGGTGTAACTTAATGCCATCAAGTTAGAAAGGGGCAGAACCCATCTTTGTTACTGGAGTGACAGGGACAGCTGGTTGCATTGGAGGCTGAGGTGAGTCTAACAGGAATTGAGTGGCAAAAGCACTTGGTGACAAGTCTGGAGGCTCTGGTGCATCTTTGTCATAGACTACCTCATGGTATGGTATTTTAAGGATGCCAAAGGGTACTAGTGGGCTTTTGGCATAGCTGCCTTGGAGACAGAGGAAATTAAACAGCTGTCTACCTTGCCCAGTCTCTCAGAAGACCCTTCTGTTGTGGGACTGAAGAGGTCTGAAGAACAGCTGATATTGCTAATACATTTTTTGCAATCCCTTTGGCAGCAGAGGGCAGGCCACACTTGGCTTTCACTTGGAGTGGTGTCCAGTACACCTGGAATCAACTGCCCCAGGGTGGAAATACAGCCCTACCATTTGCCATAGACTGATCCAGGCTGCACTGGAACAGGGGGAAGCTCCAGAGCACCTGCAATACATTGATGACATCATCAAGTGGGACGGTACAGCAGAAGGAGTATTTGAGAAAGGGAAGAAAATACTCCCAAGTCCTTCTGAAAGCTGGTTTTGCTATAGACCAAAGTGATATCAAGGGACCTGCAAAGCAGATCCGGTTTTTAGAAATAAATGGCAAATTGGATATGGTCAAATTCCAGTGGATGTGATCAACAAAATAACAGCTATGTCTCCACCAGCTAGCAAAAAGGAAACAGCTTTCTTAGGATTTTTTTGGCCTAAGAAAAGCTTTCTTAGACTTTGTGGGTTTTTGGAGAACGCAAATTCCAAACTACAGTCTGATTGTATGTTGTCTCTATCAAGTGACCCAGAAGAAGAACAATTTCAAATTGGGCCCTGACCAACGACAAGTCTTAGTACAAATTAATCAGGATATTCATCATGCTGTAGCCATTGGGCCAGTCCAGGAAGGACAAAAATCTAAAAAACATGCTCTACACTGCAGCTGGGGAAGAATGTCCCCACCTGCGACATCTTTCAGAAAGTACCAAGGGAGACCCCAAGTCATCCCCTAGAGTTTTGGAGTCAGGAATATACAGGCCAGCACGTGAATAGGCTGCTTGAGGGGTAGGCCTGACCATGGACACTTGGAAAGGCCAACTGGTTACTCAACACTAGGGTATCTGCCAACCAAACTGTCTTTGCACACTCAAAACTCTTATGCAGCGTAGAAGGAGATAATATCCCTGTATAAAAAAACTTACTGGGGAAGACAGTCTGGGTTATTCCTGCCTCAGGTAAAGGCAAACCCATTTGTGGGACTGCTTTTGCTCAAGTACCTGGGTGCTCTTGATGGTAATGCGTAAGCATGGGGAAGCCCCATATTTTGCTCAAAGGGATTTAATTTCAGTTGAGAAAAAACAATGATTTGAATTGTATTATGTTAATTGCTATATAATACAATATGCCATCACTACTATGGTTGCTATATGCCACATCAGCAGTATTACAGTAAGAGTCACCCAGATTATGTCTTTAATATCTTACTGATGATTTGGAAGAGGGAATTGAGTGCACCCCCAAGTAAGTTTGTAGACAACACCAAGCTGGGGGGAAATGTCAATCTGCTGGAGGGCGGGATGGCCCTGCAGAGGGACCTGAACAGGTTGGATCAATGGGCAGAGGCCAATGGGATGAGGCTCAACAAGTCTAAGTGGCGGGTCCTGCACTTTGGTCCCAACAACCTAATGTAACGCTACAGGCTTGGGGCAAAGTGGTTCAAAAGATGTGCAGAGGAAAAGGATCTGAGGGTGCTGATTGATGCTTGCTTGACCATGAGCCAGCAGTGTGCCCAGGTGGCCAAGAAGGCCACTGGCATCCTCACTTGTATCAGGAATAGTGTAGCCAGCGGGACCAGGGACGTGATCTGTATTCTGCTCTGGTGAGGCCACACCTTGAATAGTGTTCAGTGTTGGGCTCCTCACTACAAGAAGGACATTGAGACCTTGGAGCATGTCCAGAGAAGGGCTACAAAAGTAGGAGAGGAGAGCAACTACTGGTCTATAGTTCCCCAGCTCTTCCTTTATACCATTTATAAAAATGAGAGTGATATTTCCCTTTTTCCAGTCACCGGGAACTTTGGCCTGAGTGCCTTGATTTTTCAAATATGATGGAGACAGGCTTGACAACTACATCAGCCAATTCCCTCAGGAAAATTCCCAGCCCCTGCCTAGAGGTTCGGGACTCAAGAGATATGGGAAGCCTGACCATTAGTAAAGACACCGAGGCAAAGAAATTGTCAAGTATCTCTGCCTTCTCCACATCTGTCATTACCAGATCTCTGTCTTCATTTGTCAGAGGTGGTACACTCCCCTTAGTCTTTCTTCTGTGGCCAATGTACCTATAGAACCTCTTCGTATTATTCTTTGAATCCCTCGCTAAGTTTAGCTCTTGGTAATTGGAGATTCCTCTCTGAGAGGCACTGAGGGACCTATTTGCCACCCACACAATCTCTCAAGAGGTTTGCTGCCTACCTTGAACCCACATTCACGACATCACAGAGAGGCTACTGAGCTTGGTCAAGCCAGAGGACTATCACTCGTTCCTGCTCTTAAATAATCACATACCTTAGGGCTTTTATTAAGACCCCTGGGCATCTCAGTTAGCACTCTGGAAGAATGGCTGCTTTCTATAATTGTGTAACCTCCACACTTGGAACAAGAAACCACCTGCAGCCCCAGTTGTCTCTTAAAGAGACAAAGAAAGTAACATACAGAGGATGCAAAGAAACAAAATCTTCTTCATCCTCTGGCATGCACCGTTCATCCTTTATCAGCAGGAGGTGAGTGAAGCATCTAAGGTCATAGGCAATCTGGTTGCATTCTGTCGTGCTATTGCTGACAAGCAGACAGGGAAAAAATCACTGAAATGGGCATGGAATTTAACAGAACCAAACCTGTGGTGCATGCACAGCAGTGCTAAACATAGGAGTGTGGGGGAGAGGAAGAGAAAGAAGACTTCAAGCGGAGATGATGGACTACCAACAGAGATCCTGAAAGTGAGATAATGTATTGAAGCTTTTATGCATTTTAGCTTTTGTAGGATTTTAAAGCTGGGATTGCTTCAGAAATAAAGTCACAGCTTGGAGAGAAGCTAAGAATTTGGTAGCTGGAGATCTGTTGGTACCTGGGAAGCACTTGGGAAAACAGTAGATAAGAGACGGAAGAATTAGGGGTGTTCAGGTTTTAGCTGTCTTGCATAAAATTGATGTCAGTGAGAATTACCCCAAATCAATGAACTATCACAACCAATAAGGAAGAGAAGAATTACAGGCAATACTGTTCTCCTCCCAGTATGGGGATGTTGACTGCTAACCTTGCCTGAGGAGGAAGGACATTCTGCCTTGAACGGTGGATGACAAGAAGGGTGAGAACTGTAGTTTCACAGACATTTAGGTTCAAGAATGCCAGTCAGAACCAAGGAATAAATTCAGAGATTATCTATAATTTTGATCTGTCCAAAGAAAAAAATGCAAGTCTGAGGTAGACATGTAAAGCAGAATTCAAACAGTTGAACATAGTATTCAGTGCTGTCAGATCTGTTAGATCTGAAACTGTAGAGCAGAGCACATAAAATGGCACAAGAGGATGTAGCTTCAGTTGCTTCTACACCAGTTAGGGATGAGCAACCTAGGTGGTAGAGATGTGAAGTCATGAAAGTCAAGTGCAACCACAGATGTATCTATAGGCAAGCAGAGGTGAGTGTTACTGCATTGGATGGGTGTGTGGGGTCAGATAAAGGACGGCAGTGTGAAGCAATAGATTCCTACAGGAATCTTCCTGACACGTGATGGGATGGGAAGGGTTGTTAGGTTAGTTCCAGAGCCGACCAAATCAATGAGAGGAAATTTAAAGTGAGGCAAAGAGACACTTAGCTCCAGATGCCTGTCGGCATGGATTTGCAGGTAGCTGAGAAATTAAATAGTGGACAATTATTGACCTATTTATACACGCATCTAGCACAATGAGCCTTTCAACTGTCCATGTAGTAAAAGAGGAAATAAAGAAAACCCAAAATGTCAATAATGTGTTTTGTTGTTGTTGTTGTTGTTGTTGTTGTTTTGGTTTGTTTATTTCAAGGCTTGATGAGAAATTTTGATATTTGACAGAAACATCAAAAAGTGTCTTAAAGGGTATTTTTCTCTCTTTTTTCCTTCCTTATATTCCTTTATTTCATTATTTTATTGTAATTAATGCAGTAACAGGCAGACATAGTCATGCATACAAACATACCATCTTTGCAGCAAAATGAAAGAAAGATATTAGAGAAGAAAGGGAGACAAAATTTCATGTAACTTTCTTCTGACTCAGAAGAAACAGAACTGGAATTGGGAGGAATGACAGAACTTATTTTACAAGTCTTTCTATTTAACTAAAGTTGACTGTTCTTGTTTTCTTTTTGTCTTCTTTTTTTTTTTTAATGTCTGTCTTTGTGAGAGAGGAGATAAAATCCACAATTTCATTCAAAATGTATGGAAATTTAAATGACTTGACACATTCCATGGGAAACTCAATATGTTTTCAAAATCTCTCTTCAAGTCAATTCTTGGTGGATTAATTTCAGAGAGATATTTAGATAATTGAATTTTCTTCATGGTTCCAATGGTCTGATGATTTCTTTGGAAAATTAGACACTGCTAAGGGATTTCTTTGAGGAAAGATGGAAGTCAGTATGTGATCTCGGCTCCCTTGAAAGACAATTGAGGAAAATATATTCTTTTAAAAAGTGCTTGAATTGAAAAAAATTATGGTGGAATTCTTTATTCCTTGGGCTGGTTGTACGGATATCATTGACTGTAAAGTGATTTTAAATTGTTCAATTGTAATACACTTCAGATATGAGTGATCTATACTTAGCTTTCTTTCATAATCCGTGGATGTGATTGTTAGGTTTACTGAGTTATTGGAGTGCAATTCATCTAGACTTGTTTGACTGTCTACATTAGAATGAATTGTATAGTACCCTGGAAGGGCCTACTTTTGTCATTTGGAAAGGATGTATACAGGAGTAGTTCAGATAGACAGTTACACTGTAAACCACAAAAAATAGCTTACTATAGGAGACTGGACTGATACTTTATGACTTACACTTAATCCTGGTGCCCATTCATGGGGTGTAGAGAAAATGTGGAACACCTGATGACGTGTGGATGTTTTCAGTTTATATTTCCAGTACAATGCCCAGGTTAATGGGAATCTAAATCACTAGCTTTCAAGTATTTCACCATAAGAAGTGCCTTAAAACTAGGCAATGGTCAAAGGATGTGCTTATTAGGCAGTCTAAGTATACCTGAAGTTGATTAAATATTTTAGTATATTTACACTGGTATTTGTTCATTTTTCTTTGATTACTGTTTTTCAGGGTTTTACAGAGTCCAAATGGAGTATGAGAACAACACAGTAGTTAAAGAGTTTGTTCTGTTAGGATTTTCTCAAACCCACAAGGTCCAGATGATTCTCTTCTTCTTCTTCCTGCTGTTCTATATGATAATTCTCCCAGGCAACGTCCTTATCATTCTCACAATTCAAGGAGAGTCCCAACTGGGAACACCCATGTATTTTTTCCTGGCCAATTTGGCATTCTTGGACATCTGTTACTGTTGCGTGACCCCACCTAAAATGTTGGCTGACTTTTTCTCACACCAGAAGACAATCTGCTACAATGCTTGCATGGCCCAGCTTTTCTTCCTCCACTTCCTGGGAGCAGCTGAAGCTTTCCTGCTCGTGGCCATGGCCTATGACCGTTATGTAGCCATTTGCAAACCTTTTCACTACACCAGGCTTGTGAACAAGGCAGCGTGCTATGTCCTGGTTGGAGCTTCATGGGCCGGGGGCTTCATCCATGGCATCACTCTATTTGCTCTTACCATTGCTCTCCCCTTCTGTGGCCCCAACATCCTGGACAACTTCTTCTGTGATGTCCATCAGCTGGTTAAATTGGCCTGTGCTGATACTCACATAGTGGAACTTTTGATATTTCTCAACAATGGAGTTGTCATTGTCATGTGTTCTGCACTTCTGCTCATCTCCTACGCTGTCCTGCTGCTGAAGCTCCGGACACAGCCCTCCAAGGCAAAGAGCAAAATTGCCTCCACCTGTGTTTCCCACATCATTGTGGTTTTTGTCATGTGTGGCCCAGCTATGTATATCTATGTCTTACCCTTCCAAGCTGTCCCAATGGAAAAGGTTGTTGCTCTTTTCCATACAGTCATCTTCCCCCTGACTAATCCCATAATCTATACCCTGTGTAACAAGGAGATCAGAAGCTCAGTGTGGAAGCTGGTCACCAAATACATTCTTACGTGTGGAAAAATATAATAAAGAAACAGTTAAGTATTTTGAAGTAAATAAAACTGTTTTTGTTGCTGTTGTTGTTTTGTTTGTTAATAAAGTTCTCTTAGGAGCAACTCCATGATGTACATTATGTAAGAGCATAATATATAATCAGTAATCTGTAAGAAATTTTCTTCCATCAAAAAAGCCATAGGGTGATACTAATTACTGAATGGAATCATTTAGAGGAGAACCAAGCTGTGTAAAGGAATCAGATCAGTTGTGCTATGAAGTTACTCTTAAAAATCTTTCTTATTTTCTTTCCTTTTTTTCTTTTTTTTTTTTTTATTTTTGAGAAATAATCTGGTAGGTGTTGAGACTTTCTAGAATTATTAATGGACTTGAGATTCTGATGCAGAGAGTCAAAATGGTTGCAAGCATGTTAATTCAAGATTTCAGTTTATAGTTGAACTTTGAACGTTGATGCTGGCTCCCTGGAGGCATGACTGCCTCCACTCTTCCATCGCTGCCTTTGAATGAGTTGATTGCTTCCTCACAAAGGGACATTGTGTATACTGCTGGATCATCTAGTTTGTAGGCAGGCTTTTGCTTCTCATCCAACATAGCTAGTCCACTGAAATTGTTAAGTGAAAATCAAAGGCAATGTGGTCATGGTCTTATGGGAGGCATAGAATCATATATTTGGATTGGAAGACAGCTTAAAGATCATCTAACTTCAAACCCTCTGCCATGGGCAGGGATGCCACCCTCTAGACCAAGTTGCTCAAAGCCCCATCCAACCTGTCCTTGAACACTTCCAGGGATGGGAAATCCACAACTTTCCAGGGCAACCTGTTCCAATACCTCACCACACATTGATTGTAGTGTTTGTCTATACAGTTATAGGCATCTGCAACATAGAATGCTATGGATTCCTAAGGATTCCTGCAAAAGGCATTTCTAGGGAGAGATTCAGCCAACACAGTTTCTACTTTGAGTTGAAATAAACTGTGCCATTTTTTCTGTCTTGGCCCTTACTTGCCCTGTAATTTACCTCTTGTTTTGCCTCTCAAGTAGAATTGGCCAAATAATTCCTTGTTGAGAAAAATTAATTCCTTTTGTTGAAAAACCAGGATTTCATAGAACATGGTTTTCTTACTGGAGTGTGTACTTCATAGACAATGTAGATGCAGAATATGCTAAATATAGCTCCATCCACAAAGTCTCCACTAATATGCAAGAAGGCACTGCACTACAGCGTACAGAATCACAGAATGGCTGAGGTTGGAAGGGACCTCTTGAGATCATCTGGTCTGGCCCCCCTGCCAAGCAGTATCACCTAGAGCACATTGCATGGGATGGCATCTAGGCAGGTTTTGAATTTATCCAAAGAAAGAGAATCCACAACCTCTCTGGGCAACCTGTTCCAGTGGTCTGTCACCCTCACAGTAAAAAAATGTTCCTTAATATCTGAAAATTTCTGTGTTTCAACTTGTGCCCGTTGTCTCTTGTCCTGTTGCTAGGCACCACTGAAAAGAATCTGACCCCATGCTCTTGACACCCTCCCTTCAGGTATTTGTACTCATTGAAATAAGACCCACTCTCAGTCTTCTCCAAGCTAAAGAGACCCAGCTCTCTCAGCTTCTCCTCATATGAGAGGTACTCCACTCCCCTCATCATCTTTGTAGCCTTCTGCTGGACTTGCTCCAGGAGCTCTATGTCCCCCTTCTATAACTGGATGCAATACTCCAGGTGAGGCCTCACCAGGGCTGAGTAGAGGAGGAGGATCACCTCCCTCAGCCTGCTAGCAACACTCTTCCTAATGCACCCCAGGATACCGTTGGCCTTCTTGGCCACAAGGGCACATAGCTGGCTCAGTTAACTTGCCGTCTACCAGGACTCCCAGATCCTTCTCTGCAGGCCTGTTTTCTAGCAGGTCAGCTCCCAACCTGTACTGACACCTTGGGTTATTCCTCCATTGGTGCAGGACCCTGAACTTGCCCTTGTTGAACTTCATGATGTTCAACCTTGACAGGCTCCAGCCTGCCAAGGTCCCTCTGAATGGCAGCACAGCTCTCTGGGATATCAGCCACTCTTCTGAACTTTGTGTTGTCAGCAAACTCGCTGACAACAGCTGCATCTCGCTGAGGTGCACTCTATTCCACCAACTGGGTCATTGATAAATAAATTGAACAGGACTGGACTTGATACGGACCCCTGGACGACACCACTAGCTACAGGCCTCCAACTAGACTCAGAATCACTGATAACAATCCTCTGAGCTCTTCCATCCAGCCAGTGTACCTCACTGTCCACTCATCCACCCCATACTTCCTGAGCTTGCCTACAAGTACGTTATGGGAGAGAGTCAAAAGCCTTACTGATATCAAGGTAGACATCATCCACTGCTCTCCACTCATCCACCCAGCTAGTCATTCCATCGTAGAAGTCTATTGGCTTAGTCAAGTGTGATGTTCCCTTGGTGAACCTACTACCTGACCACTTTTCTTCTCCTCCGTGTGCTTGTACAGGTCACTAGTGTCCTCAGTCCTTATGTAACACCATCTGTAGCACAGCTCTAAATAACCAAATATAGTTGCCTGTGAAGTAGGATTTACTTTGTTGTTGCTGTTTATCCCCTCATTTAACTATCTTCTGCATACCATTTGGCAAAATAAAACTGTCAAGTTGAAAATGGACTTTTCTAAGGTCAGCTTTCTTTACTAACCCCTTTCTGAGGGTGGTCTTCCTAGTTAGACCACTTTGAAGACAGCTTGATCCCCACTTTGGGGATTGATTTGTTAGCTAGTGGTACTGGTTATGTTTTGAATGTATGTATGTGCCTATAAGTAATCAATAATGAGAATGCTTGCTATTTCACTAGCATTGTTTGTAATAAACTGTAATATTAGTATATATGCTTACTGCTTTATTACTGACTACTGCTATTGACTTGTTATATATAAACACATAAAAATACACACACACTTGTTTTCCTGATAATAATTCATAATTGCTCGATAAATATACTTGTGTTATTAAACACATGTGTACATGCTAGCAGTGATTTGTAGTAACTCGTTGTCGGATACCCCGACCAAAAACCCCGGGACAAACGGACACAACGACCAGCGTTCTGTGCCGTAAGCCAATTTATTGCTGCGTGACAGCATCTTATATAGTGCCAAAGCATCCCACCCAGGAACTCAGGATCCCCCCCACTGTGCTCGCAGGCACCCCAGACCCTTCCCCTTGTGCACGCAGGCACGACCCAGAATAACCCCACACTTGTCATAAAGCAGGAAAACCTATGAATGAAAACCCTTGTGTACTATGGAATCCTGCAAATCCACCTGTAGGGGCACGATGCTCAGGCCGAGTCAGCTGGAGGTTCTGACACCTTTGCTCTAGCATGAATCTACCTGAAAAAAAGGAGAAGGCAAGGTCTCCAAGTCACCCATATCCATCACTCTCTGTATCCCCTCAAATGGATCCCCTCCTAGCTTAATTACAAGCTTACAATTAATTAATTACAATTTATTATCAGATTGAGACGAGCAAAACGGAAGAGCTTAACTAAGTCTCTTGTGATCATGTGGTGAAAGACATTGGGAAAAACAGGAAGAGGGACTTCCAGTAACATGGAGAAGAGTTACAACACCTGAAAATCTTCCCTGCTAGCATACCTCTTTTGCAGGGGGCAGAGACATCCTTCCCCCAAGGTGCTCTGTGAGCAGCTCATATACATGTTGTGGAAGAGATGACATATTCAGCGGTCACAATCCTTAAAGAGGTCCGTGCCCTTCACCAAAAGCAGGTGATGTGGAGATTGCAGTTGGAAATAGGAAGGATGTCTCCTAAACTGGCGATGCACAAAAGAAGACAGAACAGGAAAAGACACCCTCTTTCACCCAAGGGAAGGTATATGAGCCAGGGAACCACAAAAACAAGGCCCTAAACAGCCTGAACAAGGAATGCTCAAGCCACAATGTCCTTCAAAGCTGCAGAAAGGTCAGGAAAGATGAAATGGTAGCCGCTCTCCAGGGTGCGCTTTGGTACCACTTTCTGGCCCTCCAACAACATAACAGCCCGCTCGACCCCAAAGACAGCTCGCACGGCCCAGGCAGGCACTGGCAGTAGGGCTGGGCGTCCCAGGGCTGCAGCAAACTCCTGAGTGAAGGTGCTGTTGGAGGTTTCAGGAGAAGATGGGGAGACACCATTAAAGACCCCTTGCAGGCACTCATTCTCCAGGGCATGACATATGATCCCAGCCAGGTCCTGAATGTGGATCCACGGGAATGGCTGGTGCCCAGACCCTATGGGGCCTCCCAGTCCTAGCCAGAATGGCCAGAGCATCTGAGAGATTGCGCCACCACCTCGGCCCAGAACTACACCTGTGGAAAGAACAAAGTGAGACAGGGACCCTCTCCAGCCCCAGACCTACAGCCAGGAGACAATCCTTAGAGGGCTGGACCTGGGACCGCACCCCAACAAGACAAGATACATAATCTGATGCACTTCTCCCACCCCTTCCCCTCCTGCCCCAGCTCCAAAGCACAGCCACTCCAGACACGCATGATGTCCTGTCTTACCAGATCTCACCAGAACACCACGAGTTGGACCATCAGGGATGACAGCTGCAGCTTCCCAGGAGCTCACCAGGCGTGAGAAGAAGTCAAAATTCCCTCCAGGGCTATCCTCAGTATACTCAGCTGTGGGGCTAGGGCGGTAATAGCCTGTGGGTATAACAGCAAAAAGTGGGTTGGGGTTTAATCCCAACATCAGCTGGCCCTCTTCTCCCCAACCCTTATCCCTGTCTCCAGGGACATCCTCATATGAACAGCACTAGGTTTTGAACTACAAATGCACTCTGCAGGTTCAACAGCATGTGCTGGTATTCCAGCTGAGATGGCAATGACATGAATCAAATGCACCAGCCAACAAGGCACTGAGCTGGCTGCATAGAAAGGAGCTTCCTGCCTGTCATAAATGCTAACCCGCAGCAGCTTCAAACCCTGTAGGAAGCAGAAATGCAAAGCTGGAGATGTATGGGGGGATTCAGCTGAATCCTTGCTTAGACAACTTGGTTCTACAGATGCCTTAAGGCTTTCACAGGGAAAACATTAGGTCCTGTCCTAATGCTACCAAGTGAAAGCATGAGAATCCAAGTTCCACTCCAGTACAAAAAAAAGCTGACCAAGCCTTGCCTAGTCGCAGCAATACTGATGGCAATAAAGGTGGCATTTCAAGGCAAGACATATTTTCCCCAGAAGCATGCTTCTGTCTGGAGGTACACCTCTCCTCATCAGCATGAGGCACACTGGGCCCAACCAATACCTACGCCGGTGACGACGACCCAAGCATTGGGTGGCTGGTCAGCATCAGCAATGGCTTTGGCCAAGGTCCTGGTGGTTTCAACTCGGCTGCTGATAACTTCCTTGCAGAAAGCATCTCCCCATCTGGAAAAAGGAGAGCCACTCATACTTCCCACCAGGATATCCCAGGAAACGATAGCCCCATGGGGAGCCCCCATGGTCACCTCACAAGCACAGGAGATGTCACATAAATTCCCCCCACCCCAGAGTAGGAGGAGGACATAGAATGTTACTACTTAAATATATGGTAACTGTGGGAGAACACGGCTCACCATTTCCCAAAAAAAGGCTATAGGTTTTGGATGCCCTTAGGGCAAACACATCAGAAAATGTGGGCACCAAAGCTGTGTGAATTCTCCTCAAACACCTGGAAAAGACATTTCCAAAAACACCCTGGCAATACAGGAACAACTTCCACAGTCCATTTTGGTTCTGACTTTATCTAAGCATATTATTAAGTATTATCTAAGCATAGGCATCTGGTGCCTTTTTGGACATATGCAACTACTTTGCCTGGCCTCCACCTGTCAGTCCAGAAGGAAATGCATCTTTTAAAATTCTCTGGGGACTTAACAGGCCTACAGAAATGTTTTGGATACCTGAAGACCCAGATGTCAACAGCCAGGGAACCCAGGTTGTCCTTTCTGGACACCCTACTCCCTTGCCAGACCCACTCCACATTTTCTGACAACATTGGGCTGTCTTGCCTTCACCTTGTCCCCCAACACTATGGGACACTAAGTTACAACACTACATTACCTGCGGAAAGGGTTGAGGACATTCTCACCAGCCAAGTTCACCACTGCATCACACTGGGGCAGTCCAAGGCGGGACAACTCTTCCTAGGCAGGGGTAACAGAGACATCACACACCCAGCCTTCCCTCTTCTCAAGCCTTCCCAACAACCAAGCTCCCAAGACATCCAGCCAGTTACTTCCTGACCTTTGTAAAACACTGCCTGTCGCACAAGCATGAATGGAGAACATTTTGCTCCTTGGAGCTGCAGCAGTACCCACCCCAACTGACCACAACCAGTACAGCACCTAAGAGATGCAGGGTACATCAGTGGGAAACAGTTTCCCCACTGCAAATTCCCTGCATGCCATGCCAGGTAGGCTAGTTCCTCAGCCTTGACATGGTCTCCCTTCTGTAATCACTCTTATTTCATACCCAGATGATGCGATTCTTGCCCCCTTGTCGAGAGACATGGGTCACCTCATGACCATGGCTCTGAAGCAAATGGGTCAGGGCTCTGCCCACAAATCCAGTCCCACCACCTGTGAAAAAGACAGGATATTAGAGACCAGATGCAGCTTGCAAAGCTAACGCAGGAGTTCCTGTTACCATGGCCATCCTCCTAGGGTACACCACGGGGCCCTGACCACCCTCTCCCCAGCCCTCCCACTGCAGACCTCCACCACTCCCCATACCCTGGCTCCACACACTGCATCCTACCCCTCAGGGTGCCTGGATCCCAACTGCTACCCACATTATGCTGAATCACACAGGACATTGAGGTGCTCGAGCATGTCCAGAAAAAGGCATTGAAGCTGGTGAGGGGTCTGGAGGGCAAGTCTTATGAGGAGCGGCTGAGTGAGGTAGACTTGTTCAGCCTGGATAAGAGGAGGCTCAGGGGCAACCTTATTGCTCTCTATAGGTACATTAAAGGAGGCTGTAGCGAGGTGGGGATTGGTCTATTCTCCCACATGCCTGGTGACAGGACGAGCGGGAACGGTCTAAAGTTGCACCAGGGGAGGTTTAGGTTGGGTAGCAGGAAAAACTTATTTACCGAAAGGGTTGTTAGGCACTGGAATGGGCTGCCCAGGGAAGTGGTGGAGTCACCATCCCTGGAGGTCTTTAAAAGACATTTAGATGTAGAGTTTAGTGATATGGTTTAGTGGAGGAATTGTTAATGTTAGGTCAGAGGTTGGACTCAATGATCTTGAGGTCTTTTCCAACCTAGAAATTCTGTGATTATGTTATTCTTTGATACCAAATAACAGAGCCAATGATTTCTTGAGGTCCCTTCCAACTCCTACAATTCTGTGATTCTGTGTGATTCTGTAACTGTTTCCAACTGTACTGTGTGTGGGGGTTCTTCTACTCCTTGTCCCAGACTTCCAGGTCAGGAGGCTTAATACCCCGAGGATAAGTGGTCTGACTACAGAAGTCCTTCTATGTTTGTGAACAGTAGGTCTAGCTGGGAAACCTCTCTGTTAGGCTCACTAGCCACCTGAGTCAGGAAGCTATCTTCCACGCACTCCAGGAATCTTCTAGACTGCTTCCTCAGGGCTGTATTGTATTTCCAGCATATGTATGTGGAGTTAAATTCTCCCATGAGAAGAAGTGCTGGTGATTGCACAACATCCGCCAGCTGCTCATAGAACACCTCATCTATCTCTTCATCCTTGTTTGGCTCTTGTTGGTCTATAACAGACCCCCAGTAGGATGTCTACCCTGTTGGCCATCCCTTTATCCTTATCCATAGAAGAAATATACAAAGAAAAAGAAGAGATATCTAAGTCAGTAAAGATAACCAAATCCACTGGCTAAGAAATGTAAAGACAGTAAACAAGCTTTACAGGAGAAATTTGTGATGTTACCAGTCCAAAAGGATTCAGCTCTTGTTAGGGCAAACATAAATCTACCTTCTCACCTAGCTGTATTTAAAGAACCAAACAGGAAAAATATCTCAAAAAAACAAATAAACAAACAAAAAAGCACCATCCCCACCTCCACCACCAAAAACAAAACAACAACAACAACATCAAAAACAAACAAACAAACAAAAAAACAACAACCCTCAAACATACAAACAACACATGGTGTTAACTTGTCTATATGTTACATCACAGTGGTTGTTACACATTGTTATGTTCTCTTTATCAGCGAGTGCAGACAAAAAAACACGGGGGAGTGGCTTTAAAGCAAAAGAGGCTAGGTTTAGATTAGATATAAGGAAGAAATTCTTCTGCCCTACACTGGGCAGCTGGGAGCGAATTTGGTTGTTAGCCAAGGTTGTTAGCCCACCAGAACCGAGTGGAAAGAACGCACAGGCAAACCCAAGTGCAGGTACTGGTGGACTAGACGACCCTGCCTGTGTTGGAATGTCTGGGCTTCTGATAGAAAAAGGTACTATGTAACATTTATAAAGCATAAACCATTTGAATTCAGAGTCATTCATTCATTTGCACAATGCTGATGCATCTGGGCAACAATTCAGTCACTTGGAAGGTCTACTCCAGCTCTCATGGGTGCCTCCGGGAGCTAGAAAATGCCTTTGACATGCTCTCCTTCAACGCTCGTTTGACTTGATTGTTCCTGAGTGAATAGATGTATGGGTTAAGCATCTGAGTCACCACGGAGAAGAAGAAAGAAAGAACTTTGTCAGAGCCCTGCCCACCCCGTTGCGCTGTGCGGTTATACCTATAAATAGACGTGCTGTAAAATACAGTCACCACCACAAGGTGAGCTGAGCAAGTGGAAAATGTTTTCTTCCTTCCTGAGGAAGATGGCATATGTAGGATGGTGATAATAATGCAACCATATGAAATGACAGTTATTGTTAAGGTACCTGGCACAATGATAATTAATAGGATAAACATCAGTCCTTCAATGAACCACGTGTCTGTGCAGGACAGCTGCAACAACTGTGAAGTATCACAGTAAAAGTGGTTCAGGACATTGGGACCACAGAAAGGCAACTGGGCAATCATAATGATGGGAGGAGACATCAGGAGAAAACTCACTGCCCAGCAAGCCAGGACCAGTTGGAAGCAAAATCTGTTGTTCATAATAGTCGTGTAGTGCAAGGGGCGGCAGATGGCAACATACCGATCAAAGGACATTGCCGCCACGTGGAAAAAAGTGCAGGTACCCAAGCAAAAGAAAAGCAGCATCTGAAGAAAACAGCCAGGCAGGGAAATTATTTTCCTCTCTGTCAGAAGGCTGTAGAGGGTGCTAGGAATGAATGTGGAGGTGAATGTTATTTCCAAAATGGCAAAATTCCTGAGGAAGAAGTACATTGGAGTCTGAAGAAAATGGTCCACTAGAGTGATGCTGATGACAGTAATGTTTCCAAACAGGATCAAGAAGTAGGCAATCACCAGAATCAGAAAGAGGATGATCTCCAAATGGCGGCTGTTGGTCAGCCCCAAGAGGACAAATTCCACTACTGTTGTGTGGTTCATTGAATCTTCATTGCTAGCGGAACAAGAAAAGACCTGTTTTGAGAACTAGTGGAAAACAACAGGACACAAGTCAATATGGTTTTGTTAACATAAAAGGGAGATACCAGTAAGTAACCCCCTGAGAGAGACTGGAGCAGCCGCAGTAACTACATTTAAACAATCTTTTCCAGGTAAATGGGGTCTCAAGCACCATTTGTAATGCCTAGTCCTCATTCCAGTTCAGGCAACACATAGGGGTCCCCTCTCAGGACAGCTGAGAGGGCTACATGTGCAGGAACTGTTTTCGACCCTGGGACTATGAATGTCTGAATGACAGTGTTCATTGCCCATCAACAATAGACAGAGACTGAAGTAGATTAGACACAATGGATAGTGATGGATAAAGTAGTATTGCAGAAAATGAACTTGCTGCAGTTTAAAGGAGCTAAAACGACAAAGAGAGAGGGAAAGAGACTTTACAAAGAAAAGGCTGGATAGATGGGAGCAGTGCTCCAAAGACAGGTTTGTAGAGCTGGTTACCACCGAGCAAAGGGAAAATGCACCAAGGAATGGATAGATACCACACTAAGCAAAAGTAAAAGAGGGAGAAGGGGGAAAGTACGGGAAGAAATTCTGTTTACTTTTCATTTAACCTCAGCACTATAGCTCCAGTGGATCAACTCTGATGCTGATGGTTTCTTCTTTGTGGCACCTGTCTCCAAGTATCCTGCCACACTACACCATCCTGCCCTAAACTCAGACAGGTACTTTGTCCAATGCAATGTGTCTAATGCACTACTGTACTATATTACTGGAGCAGTCACCACTGTGGTTACCATTACTCTGTGGAAGTGAAGGGGAGCCTCAAAACCTTGGACGATGCCCTTCAACTCAACCACGCTGTTTTCTTGCAGGCTTACCAGATACTATTTATGGCATTTCAGCTGCAGTCTCCCTCCCTTCTCTCCCAGATACCAAACCTGTTAGCCCTAAAAAGAGATGTGGAGCTAGTTTTGCACTCAGATCTCCCAGATTTTATCTTGTGTCTTTGAATCTGGTTTCACACTCATTTCAGACTCACTTCAGCTATTTCTGAATGATTAAAAGGAGTACCAACATGAGTTTCTGGGGAAGGCAAGCACATCTTAGACAACACATAGCCCATACCAAACTTGCCATCTGATTTTCTCTTTTCAAGTGCAACTTACAAAATATTCAAGAAAATGGTAAATCTGAGTGAGAACACTATGACTATCCTGATCACACTACTCCCATCAGTTCTTTCTCCTTTGGTGCACTTGGTGTCAGCAAAACATGGACATTTGTTAGCTGCATCTCATGGCTGTTTCTCCAAACAAACAAACAAAAAAAAAAAACACAAAACACACACACAGACAAAATTAAAAAAAAAAACCACACATGCAAATAGAACACCCTCTTCCCCCACATTATCACATAAAGTATAGGACATCCTTTTTTAATACCACAGATGGACAGACATTATCTGGAAGCTGAGCTTGCTCCCTTAAAACCAGAGTCTCCCTCAGTCTTAAAGCTTTTACTTGAGTTTTAAAAATGAGCCAGTCAGTTTTCCAAGCCCTTATCCATTTCTTCTTTCCCTATCTCCAAAACAATCACACCCAGTCTCTAAGAAGTGCTCCAAAGAGTTACCAATATATCCACAGCAAGCCAGGATGCTTCAAAAAGAAGTCTAATTCTGATGTTTCTCCTCTATGTAGGCTGACTTCCAGCAAAGAAATTTCCACTTCTGAGCTCCTTCTTATAATGCGGTCAGTATTTTACACTGTTGTACTTCCTCACTGAGTCAAACCTCAGGGACCAATTTGGTATCGAAATCTGCCAAATACCTTCTGGGAAAACACTTCTGAGAGTTTAAAGAGCAGCAAGAACATAGTCATACCATGGAGAAAATGAGGTTGGAAAGCACCCCTGGAGGTCCAGTCTCCTGCTAAAAGGCAAGCTAACTTCCAAGATGGACAAGGTTGGTCACGACTTTATCTACATAAGCTTGGATATCTTCAAGTATGGGGATCTCCCAGCTTCTCTGGGCACTGCCCATGCTTCACCATTTTCATTGTGAGGTGTAATTTCCTTCTGTCCAGTGGAGGTTTCCTTGTTTCAGCCGTGACTCTTGTTCTTTCACTGTGCACTGTGCACAGGCATCTGTGCACTGAAGTACAGTACTCAAGGTGTGGCCTCACCACAGCAGAGTACAGGGCGATGATCACCTCCCTGGTCCTGCTGGCTGGGGTGATTCATGACACAAGCCAGGATGCCAGGATGCGTGGGCACAATGGCAGCTCAAGTTCAGGCGAGCATTGACCAGCACACCCAGATCCTTTTCCTCTGCACAGCTTTCCAGCCATTCTGCTCCAGGCCTGTAGCTTTGCATAGGGTTGTTGTGACCAAAGTGCAGCACTTGGCACTTACACCTGTTGAACCTCATCTCATTGTCTGTCATGTTTAGCTAGACTAACATTTGTGATGATGGGTGTACGTGATGATAGGGAGAAACATCATGCAAGTAGAAAGTCTTCACATCTAATGTTGTTTACCATGCCTGTCCTGATGGAGATGGCTAAAGCAGACTATATAGGAGTTGAGATTATGAATTAATGTCTTAGGAAAGGTTTATCTAATGTGTTTTTGGTGTTCAGGGAGAGATGAATTGCATCCTCATCTCTTCTGCCTATATTTAAGTATTTTAAGGAAATTTAGGAGGGATGGATGCATCCATGACACCATGATGTAAGTATTTCGACTGCTAGCATGGCTGTCTGGTGGCTTTGAAATAAGATCACTGGAATGATTTCCTTGTGGTTTATAATATAATAGAGTATACAACAGAAACTGAAGCATCAGACTTACTAGGTGGATGAATGAATAGGTGGAATCAAGGTGGTATGGTATAGAGGAAGGCAAGAGATGGAGTCTCTCTTTAAGCATCATTAATGTGTATAGTAAGAATAGTGGATAATGTCTTTATTCCTTGGAACAAAAGGAAGAGTTGGACAGAACAACTTAACGATTTCAGCTAACTGTACACAGTAGACCTGCCTATGAACATACTAGAGAAGAGTTCCCAAATGACCGCAATGAAACAAGAATGGGATTAGTTGTCTTGTGCTCCCCAGGTGAACACATTAAAATGGAAGTAGTAGATTTAACAGGCCTTCTCATAGCACTGCATATCAAAAAAATACAGAAGGAGGGATCTGGAATTCTGTCAACATCTGAATTAAATACAAATTTGTGTAGGATTTCCATTACCTGCATTGTGCTTCATTTGACCTTAGCTTTTCAGTTTACATATATACCATTCATTGGGAATGTATGCGGTTTATTATCAAAACAGGGGGCAGACATATCTTAGCATTGTGAACTTTAGTTTCAGGCAATGACACTTTTGCATGCTGCAGTTCTGGGTACCATAATGCCTAAATGCATTTTTACAAGGTTCCTTTCAGGTCAGAGTCACAGTAGCATTTCTCTCTCAAACTTGGAGAGATGTCAGTAGGAAGCAGCATAGGCCTTACACTTTTATGCAGTAAGGATACTACAGGCCGTTTCCTCCTTTAGCTGTAAAAGATAATTATTCGTTGTGGCTGAAACTAGTTGTCATTAAGCACTTTGCCACACAAGTCATGCAGAAGGACCATGGCACCTTCTGGACAGTGAA